GGACCGGCCTCACTGCTGCGAGGCCTTGGTTGGGGCTGAACCGTCCAGATCGACGATTCAGGTCCAACTGGAGAGCGGCAGCCTCAAACGGCGCCATCAGGCCCAAACATCTGGGCCTGGTCCGTAGTCGGGTCCAAGTCGTGGCCTTTCGGCCTGTTATCCCCCAAGGTCGGGCCTTTAGGCCCTGATGTGTCCATCTAGCCCTAAGTCGGGTCCGGTAGGACCCGTGTGGCGTCGAAGATGTAACAGTGTGTGACCCGCAAGGGTAGTTGCTTCCCTGAAAGGCCCCGTAGGGCCGGTATTTACCTGTGGCCATGACATTGAGGGTTGCAGAGGGAAAAACACTCAAGTAGCGGGAATAGGCCCGCGACACATAGAGCAGCAGGGAAAAACACTCAAGTAGCAGGTAGGCCGGTACCACTCAAAGTAGCAGAAGATGTGACGGGGACTGGAGGCCGAGCACAAGAAGATAAAAAGTTGGCATTTTTTTAGGCCCAGTAGTTGTAGACTATGTCTCCGCGGGTACCAGTCCAAGTAGTCTGAGTCTAGGGTCTGTACGGGTGATATCAGAGTCTGCAATGATGTTTCCCTCCAGACGGGAGGAGGTACCTGTTGCTTGGAGGCCGCGCGGTCTGGAAGTCACCGCCCAAGAGGCAAGTTGGCCACTATATCTCCAGAAGGAGCGAAGTGCTCCTCCACATGTGCTGCATGCAAGTTTGGCGACACGCTGCTGGAGTGCTGGCTGGAGCAGCGCTGTAGGGAAGAGGAACGCCCAGCTCCCCACCTTGGCTATGGGGGAGGAGCTCGAATAGGAGGATGAGGAAGAAGGGACTATAAGAGGGGGCGCTAGGGGTACTTACCTGGCTATGGTGGACGCCATCACCTTGGTGGTTGCTCAATCTGGAAGGCCCCTGTTGGGGTAAAGCTATACCAAGAAGCTTTGAGGCAGAGTCAGGCATGGCGACCTGAGCGGAACCAGCCATAGCTGCTTTGTGTTGTCTTTTGCACGTCAGGGCAAGGCCCTAGTAGTCCGCCATAGCCTCCGCCTAAAGGAAGAAGGAAGAGGGAGGCGGACATGGCTATGGCGAACCTCCTGTTGTGCTGGAAGTAGAAGAGGGATTCAGACATCGATTCCGGTTCTGCAATCATCATTATCATTACAAGTGGATGCGCCGCAGCTACACTGCGGCAGTGGAGGGGGAGCGAAGGTGGAGGCAAGGGGGATGGCCAGGGCAGAAAATAAGAAAGAAGTGAAAGGAAGAACGGATCGGAGGAAAGGGGGAGTGCGAAATTTTCGGTGCAAACGGGGAAAAAAAAAAAAAAAAAAAAAACAAACCCAAGAATGTACATGTCTCTCTCTCTTTTTTCTCTCCCTGTCTATGTCGGGATAGCGAGTGTGTGTGTGTATGTGTGTGTGTGTGTGTGTGTGTGTGTGTGTGAGCGAGCGAGCGAGAGAG